AGGATGGAAGGCTGAGTCAACCTTGAGCCGGTGAGATTTGAACCGCTGACCTGCTGAACACAGTCAGCTAAAGTGGCCTGCAGTACTGTACTCTAACTGCTGATGTTGTATATAGCATGTTTATATGTGTGTTATATATGTGTATACTTTTGAGAGCAGGCAACAGAATTTCATGTTTAATGTGTGCCTGTGTGCCCACAGTAAAAAATGACAATAAAGGTTATCTTATCACTTATCTCCTATCTATCTCCTATCTCCTATCTCCTATCTCCTATCTGCCATCTCATCTCATCTCATCTCATCTCATCTCATCTCATCTTATCTTATCTTATCTTATCTTATCTTATCTTATCTTATCTTATCTTATCTTATCTTATCTTATCTTATCTTATCTTATCATCTTATCTTATATCACTCTAGATACCAGTAAGGTATTCCGTTTCCATTTTCAACAGAAGGAGTTTTATCAGACTCCTAATGAGGAAAAAAGGACAGATTCTGTCTGTGGTAGTCCAAATAATTGTCACCCCACAACTGATTTGTGTGTATGTGTGTGTGTGTGTGTCTCACACACAAATGAAATGAATATGGATTTGGACCATATATTTCTAAAAAAAAACCACCCCAGAATATAGGGAAACGTTTCTGTTGTTATTATTTTGAATGATGGAAATTTGGTTAGTATTTAATAAGAAGTTCTCTAGCAACCACTGCTGAATCAGCTATTTACTTTTCTTCAAAGTAAATGGTCCCAGGAGATACCATGTAAGACTTGGTAGGTCACACTTGTTCAGACTTCTTCAGTTTAATGATACCACAATAGCTTGGTGCTGATTATATTGCAAAATATAGTCTTGAAAAATAACATTAATTGCCTTTTCAGGGTCCCCTTTGGGTAAATTCTGAATACCCTCTAGCAACCCTTGCTTGTACTTGATAAACATGTCAATGTATGGAAACATGTCCCATGAAAGAATGAATGCACTTATTTTTGTTTAAAGATTGGGAGATGCTTATTGAATAAAAATATCTCTGAGTTATATCTTTCTCTGCAGCGGGTTTCTAGCGTGATTTATAAATGTTCAACATTACAACAGAAGACAAAAAGTCAGGAACCTTAGGGGCACAGTCTTGTAATCCTGGAAAAGTATTTTAGGGCAGAGGTCCCCAACCTTTTGGGCACCAGGGACCAGTTACATGGAGAGAAGTTTTTCTGTGGACCGGAGAGGGCATGGTTTCATGCACTGTCTGCATCCCATGGATGGGGCTTTGCTTATTTGTGTAGATCAATTGCTGGCATGCCACGGCCCGGTACTAGTCCATGGATCGGGGGTTGGGGACCCCTGTTTTAAGGTATATAGCAAAGAAATGAACAGGATCTGGTCCATGGGTTGGACCAATACTCCCACTGACCTGGGTGTTTTGTATATTATCAGAGGGTGTGGCCTAGTGGATCCCCACTGGCAGCACAATCCATTTTCCATGCAGAAAGAAGATGTCTTCCCCTGCACAGAGGAGAAAACTCTCTGTGTGGGTTGAAATCTAGAACTAGCTCTATATGTATCACCTTTTGGGATTGTTTTGCCCATACACTTAAAAGCATGGAGCCATCCATTTCTCCTCTCTTGACAAAGTGAGGCCATGTTTCTGAAAAGCAGGACTTTGTACCTCTTTCCACACAAGGGAACATCAGCCTTCCCTCAAGGATAGCCAAAGCATTACTATCCTTGAAGGCATTTTAGATGGGGTGTATGCAAGGGCAACTGTGATGGTTCTCGCTGTCCATCTTGAAAGCATTCCAGAAACTTTTCCTGTCGGTTCGTTGATTAAAATTCAATATTGAAAGTTAATTAAGGTGTAGAGGAGGGACTTTCATGGTGTTAACCAGCCCATGGTTGCGTGCTCTTCTGTGAGCCGCAAACAAAACAGCAGAGCTGTTTCCAAAGCTTTCTGACATTAATATTTGTAACTTACGCACAAGAAAGTACCTATCTCTGCCTTAAATTTTTATTCTTGTGAATGAACTGAATACTCTGTCTTCAGCCATATCTCTCAACAACAAGCTCATATTCCATTCTAACACATGACAGGGCAATTCACCACCACAAGTTGAGTTTATATGAGGAAATAGCTTAGTAATATGTTGAAGATCTGTAGATTCGAAAACTTGCAAGTGCCTTAGGTGTTAGGCTGGAAGCTTGACCATATTTGAAGTGGATTCTATAATTCAGGCATCCCAGCAGTATGATGAAGCAGGACTAGGAAGTTAATGCTTTCCTTTCACAAAACACAATGGAGTTTTCTGGATTCGAGGAAAAGAGTTTTCTGGTCTTTTCATAAATCCTTTTCATAAATCTCTCTCTGTTTTCATTCTTTGGGAGAATGGAGGGACAAGGCAGCAAGGAAAAGACAATTACTCACTACTCCTACTAGGCCTTTAGCAAGTGATTTAACTTTCAACCTTCAACAAATCTGTTCAGAGGACTCAGCACAGGTTCTGACTTCCATAGGATTTATTTGATATCCAAAGGATATTGAGGCATGAATATCACCAAATGTTTTTAATGCTTGGTTCCTCACTATACAAAACAGTTGCCTTACTGACCTTAGACTACTAAAACTAAATATTTAGCAAATAAAATAGCTTTTAATAGCTTTAATATGACACTTTCCGCTGCAAGCCTGATCCTGGAATCAAAGAAGTATTAAATCAGTTATATCTAATTTCAGCCCCAAACAGCTGCCTAATGAGAATGTGAATAAAACTTATTTTTAACTAGCACAATAGCACTGAAAACTTATTTGAGTCTGCAACTCACAAGCAATAACTTCTAAGATGGCAGTGGGGATGAGGGTGGGGGATGAAGTTGATGAATTAATTATTATTTCAACTTCTAGTTTTTCTTTGTATTGATCTTGCCTGTTTTCTTTTGTTATACAGTGAAGATTTTTAAAAATTATTTATAGAATAATGTTTGATTTCAGAGCTAAATAAAATTGTTGTATTTGTTTTCTCACACTGTGTTCTAATCTGTGATATAAAACTGAATTTCTAATCTAACAGAGGCTTGCGGTCAAATTCATTTCTTTGCTACATATATTATAGGGGTAAAATAACTGGGCTTCAGAAATTTGTGGAACCATTAGATAGCAACAAACAGATAAGTAATATATTTACACCCAAGAGGCAGCAGCCTTTTACTATGTGCTTCTGTGGGATAAAATCTGTAATTATAAGATAATGTGAGTAGGATTGGGCTATTACATGTTTACAATACAGAAATTGCAAACTGAAAGGGCAGCTACATAATACACATTATACATACCTTATATTTAGAGCCTAACTTTCAGCTTTGTTTTTTTTTTATCAGTTATATTACCAGTATTTCAGAATTTGGAATGAGTTCACTTTCAGAGAAACAAGACAATGTTTTCCTTATTTCAACTGTATATCACATTTGTCAATCCTCTTTTGTGTTACTAGTGACAACCAAACTATAATGTTTAACTTATGTTCACTGGTTCATACATCATGTTAATTCATTTTATTTTGCCTTTGGTATGGCTTAGTACAATGTCTGAATTCAACCACCTGATTTATAAACTATGTTTTATGGCCTAGTGTTGAACCAGATTGGCATGGTTAGTTTCAACAGTTTCCCAGCTGAAACTATGGTTGAGTCTGTCCATGTGTTTGTGCAATTAAGGAGTTTTCAGGTTTTGTGACTGCTGCTTGGTGTTCATGTTTGTGCTCTGCTAGTTTTCTGCTTATTGTTCCTACATAGTGGCTGTTACAGCCCTTCCACTGTGAGTTGTAGATGAATCCTAATTATTCACTCCTATACACATGAATCTGGTCAAGTAAATTTCAACACTACATTGGTGTCAGATAAGAGTCAACGGAATTCAGGAGGAGTTGGAGCACTTGTGGGAATGCAATGACTCTAAACTTATAACAAACTTAATTCTGCCTTCCCCCCCAGCTCTGCCTGCTCTTCTCCTTCATCTTGTATGGTGTGGTAATGCCATGTAGTTGTCTGTTGGTTTTTATAAAATATATTTAATGTATGGTAATGTTTTTTTTTCATAGCTTGTGCTCGTGCTGTAGTCAATTGAATGGCCAGGAACTTTTTGATACAGTTGTGTGAGTATCCATTTTGTTAAAAGAGGTTGTACAGATGGTTTGTTTCCTTTTTCTGCTTTTTTCGGTTGTTGCAGTGCATTTGTACTCATCTGAATAATGTTCTTATATAGATCCACTTGTTGAAGGTTTGGTTGTTACTCTGGTAATGGAGCACTTGGCTAGTGTGGGTTGTTTTGTTAAGAAGTCAGCACCAAAACCATAATGGATTTTAAAATGGATGTGGAACAAACTTTGTTATTTGTAGGCAAACTCTGCCCACAGTCTGGAGTTTGGTCCTGATGGGTCTCAAAGTTGACTCAGCCTTCCCTCTTTCCGAGAACCCAGTAAAATGAAAACCCAGATGGTTAGAGACAATATACTGATATTGTAAACTACCTGGAGAGTGCTTTATAGCACTAGGGGTGTTATATAAGTCTAAGTGCTATTACTATTACTATGTATCTGAAATGTTTTGCTTTTGGGGAGAATTGCCAAACTATATATCTTTCTCACGAATGAAAAATTGAGAGGCAGAATACATGAGGTTCTCTGTTTTACAAGGGAGAGAGAAAGAGAGAGAGAGAGAGAGAGAGAGAGAGAGAGAGAGAGAGAGAGAGAGGGATGCCAGACCACATTACATGGCACCTCACATATGCTAGCTGAAGAACTGAATAAACACTGCACAAGAATGTGTTATGGGTGCCTTTGGGCAACTTTGTGTTCATTCTGAAGTCTTTTATAAAGCTTTCCAACATTTTCCCCTTAAGCTGAAGCACTGGATTTTGAGTGGCAGAACAAATTTATCTTCCTGTACTTAAAAAAAAAAGTTTTTCACTTTGAAAGTAATCAAAAAAGTCATAACAGTTCAAAAGCTTTAATGAGAACTGGAAAAAAAGAAAGAAGAAATATTCTGTCAAAGGCTTGTCTTCTCAGTTTTTAGGCTGGGAAGTCAAGTGATGATTGGGAGGTAAAAGAAATAGCTCCAGATTTAAAATGAATTGCTTGGCTTAAGAGTAAGACCTAGTTCTAATAAGCAAATACAGCATTCTCTGATATTTCAAAGATGAAAATACAGTTCCTTGATTAACTTGTGCTGTGGGCAGACAAACTAATAGATGCAAGTGGATTAGCAAAATCCAAATCTTTAGAATTCTTAAGTGTAAGATCAGTGGTGAGATTCAGCCAGTTCGCATCAGTTCTGCAGAACCAGTAGCTAATTTTTTGTTACCCAGGCCCAGAACGGACTTCTGGAAGCGGCATCCACACAGAGAACCGGTTGTTTATATATTTGAATCTGACCACTGTGTAAGATGTGATATAGTTGCCATCACAAGATCACAGCATGGGTCAAGCCGTGCACTACCTGATAAGTCAAATAAAACCACATACTACATTATTGTGTGAGGAAACTATAGTTCAATTTACAATTAAGGAACTTTCAGTTTGATTTATCAAATATCACACAGTGAGATGAGCTGGATAAAAAAAATCATATAGCTTTGTTTTTTTCATGGTGAAGGGAAAGAAAAATAAATGTTTTGTAATATGGACATTTGGAGAGAAAGGTTTCAGAGGAAGAAAAATTGTTTTAAAATGCCACTTCCTACCAGACAGTAGAAGATTTTAATATTATCAACCATAGTTGCTAGTCATCTTCTTATGATGGATGAAGTCACTGGCAACAGAGCATATAATACACAATTAAAAATAACTTGGCCAAATGCTTGAGCTGGTGCCAGAGATAATGAATTGGCTCAGGCTTTTCCAGTTTTGAACAGCAGAACAAGGGCATTTTCCAGATCCTTCAGTATATGAAATTCCATATTTTTTTCTAGCACATAGGAATATTGCAACACACAGGAAAGTGCCTGCCTTACTACTTGAATTTTAGAGGAGTGTTATCTTTTATACAAGATGTAAAAGCTCAAGAGAAAATCCACAGCTACCTAGTGTAGCTACCCAATGTGTCTTCGGTTAAATTATCCCTCTAAAAGGTCAATCAGCAAGTACCAGATGTGACATTTGGAGCAGTTCTCATTTCTTTTAGCTTTTCATTCTTCGGCAAGATAATGTTCATTCTGTGTGACAAGAAAGAGAAAAAAGCAAGTTGGTAATATCACCATCGTTGTCAGGCTCATTTAACAGAACTTCTTGTTTATCTGTCTTTGTGTTACTACAGGAGAAGATGCATTTTTCCCCATGGAAATTTGCTTATAACTTTTCCTTTTGCTACCATAAAATGGCAAAGCATCTGCAAAGGTTATGTTCAGGCTAATTTGCTGACGAATATGAAAAAAAGTTGGGGGGGGGAAGGCAAGTTTGCCATGGTGAGCTCTGTTGAAGATTGATTTTCCCCATAGATAGATAGATAGATAGATAGATAGATAGATAGATAGATAGATTTATTTATTTATTTATTTATTTATTTATTTATTTATTTATTTCCTGCCTTTATTATTTTTAGAGATAACTCAGGACAGCAAGCATATCCAATGCACCTTCCTCCTCCTATTTTCCCTGTAACAACAACCCTGTGAGGTGGGTTGGGCTGTGAGAGAGTGACTGGTGTCCAAAATCACTCAGCTGGCTTTCATGGCTAAAATAGGACTAGAACTCACTACCTCCTGATTTCTAGCTGGTGACTTAAACATTAGATCAGTGGTTCTCAACCTTTTCTTCACCATGGATCCTCTTTTATGGTATTTAAGACGTATCTCAAGATTTAAATCAAAACATTTCTTCAACCTTTCGTGGATCCCCGATGATGACATCATATCCCCCCGGGGGTCTGCAGACCACTGCATTAGACCAAAGCTAGGCCAGGCCAGGCCAGTGGAAAGTCATGGGTTGAAGCTGAAGCAGTTTGTTTAATGTTCTTTCTAAAGCAGGGGTCCCCAACTTTGGCAACTTTAAGACCTGTGGACTTCAACTCTCAGAATTCCTCAGAATTCTGTTCTAAAGTTAAGGCAAATTTGCAAGATTCTTTTCCACTGTCAGAAGACATCACCCAAGGTTGTCTCATGGTAGGAATCTTCCATTCAATTCTAGCAATTTGTCATGTTTAACCACATCCATAAATTGGTTCTCTTTTTATCTATTTTTAGCCAGAAATGACTAGAACATATTCAAGGTTTAACTTGAGGCCAGAGATAAGCTGCAGTTTAAAGGAAACCGTATTCTACAAAGTTTTTCTTTTGCTCTCTGTCTACATGAGATATATATTCTGCACCTTCACAGAATGGTCTATATGACTTCACGAAGACCAAACAAATTGTAGAAGAAGGTATTTTCTATTTTCTGGAATTAATCTTTGGATCAAATTAAATTCTTGTAATAGAATGTTGGCTTTAAATGATGTAAGAAAGGAATACCAGTCACAATGAGCTAGAAGTAACAATTACTAGAAGTAGTAATTCCACTACTTCTTTCTATCTTGGATTTCCATTGGTCACCTGGTTTACCACTGAAAGGAGAATGGGGAGATTGAACAATATTTTATTTATTTAACTTATTTATCAAACTTGTATGCTGCCCGTCTCACCAAAGGCAAATATTCTATGCTATGGTATAGGCAGGAGAATCAATATGTTGTAATGACGAAAGTATTTGGTTTGAACAGAAGAAATTTTAGATTTAGATCCCAAACTACTATTTGCTGGAATCCTTTGGCCATTAAGAGCTGCATAATCCATTCATATACTTAAGTTGCACTTCCCATTTTTGATTTTGCTGGGAAGGTCTGAACAGGGCTTCTGATAATGTCTGTTTGAAAGGAACAGGTCTCTTTGAGGAACTACGAGTATTTTCAAATGAAGGTGATTTCAAATCCTGTTTTGACTTTGCCATTCAATCCAGTCAGTTTGGCATTTCCTGGAAAAAGAAATTTCTTGGGAATGAGAAACAGGAAGGTCAGATTTGGCATGCTCTGATATAGGTAGGCATGATATCTCTATTCTGGATATCTTTTAGCTATTCATCTTCTGGAGATAATCTGAAAACATATGCAAATACTGAAAATGGAAGGAGTATATATGTGGCCATGCATTCTTTGGAAAAAGGTAAAGTAAAAAAAAAAAACAAAAACAAAACAGGGAGAAGTAAAAAGAGACTGAGCATTCGGGTCCTTGCAATTTAGAAATAGATGGACATTGAGAGGGGGAGAAAAGGAGGCAATTGAAGAAAGAAGCAATACTTGCAGATGAAAGGGATTGAGCTTAAATCACAATAATGTGATGCCTGCGGAATCCCCTAAACTGTGAGCACAGTCATAATATTCACAATACCATTTGATCCAGAAATATACCATCTTTTCCAGGATAAGGTTTATGGGTAAGGAGTAGGGCCAGCTTCAAAAAGCAGAGGGAATCAGAAGAAAGAAGTATTGGGGCGAGAACAAAATTTCAATTTGATTTAGCATGAGTGACAATTAAAGCCAACACAGTTGATACAGGGATACCAGATGTCTAACCAAAGAGGTACACGTTCTCTTTTTTGTCTCATGTCCTCCCTCTGAAAAGCATAGCCATAAAATCAAATATGGCTCATCTTGAGTGGTCTGCTTTTTGAAGTTGGACCTGGCTCCTTACAATGAATCTCAATGAAAGTCATCATTCAAACCTTTGTGTATAATAATAATAATAATAATAAAATAATAGTGCCGCTTATGCAAAGAAGCTGAAGAAACAGTGCATTGGAAGATCTGCAAAAAATAACATTTGCCTGTAAGCAAAAACTGGTGGGATCATAAAATAGAGAAAGTTATAGAAAATGATAAAATTAAACTGCTCTGGGACTTCAGAATTCAAACAGACAAGCACCTGCAACATAACACCCCAGACTTAACAATTGTCGATAAGAAAGACAAAAAAGTCTGGATAGTGGACGTGGCAGTGCCTGGAGATAGCAGAATAGAAGAGAAAGAACTGGAGAAGATAACAAAATACAACGACCTACAAATAGAAATAGAAAGACTGTGGCAAAAGCAAGCAAGGGTAGTACCAATAGTCATAGGCTCCTTGGGCGCAATCCCAAAACAACTGGAGCACCACTTGAACACCATTGGCATTGACAAATTTGCTATTAGTCAATTGCAAAAGGCGGCCTTATTAGGAACTGCTTCCATCCTGCGACGATACCTGTAATACCATCAAACATCCACATCTGCCTATCCCAGGTCCTGGGTAAGGACTCGATAGGTAGACAAAATGCCAAATCCAGTCTGAACATCTGTCTGACTGTGCGATGATCCATCAATAGTAATAATAATAGTAAAGTTGGAAGGGACCTTGGAGGTCATCTAGTCCAACCCCCTGCTCAGGCAGGAAACCCTATACCATTTTGGACAAATGGCTGTCCAGTCTCTTCTTGAAAACTTCCAGTGTTGGAGCATTCACTGCTTCTGGAGGTAGGTTGTTCCACTGGTTAATTGTTCTAACTGTCAGGAAGTTTCTCCTTAGTTCTAGGTTGCTTCTCTCCTTGCTTAGTTTCCACCCATTGCTTCTTGTCCTGCCTTCAGGCACCTTGGAAAATAGCTTGACTCCCTCTTCTTTGTGGCATCCCCTGAGATATTGGAACACTGCTATCATGTCCCCCTCGTCCTTCTCTTCATTAAACTAGACATACCCAATTCCAGCAGCCGTTCCTTATATGCTTTAGCCTCCAGTCCCCTAATCATCTTTGTTGCTCGTTCTCTGTACTCTTTCTAGAGTCTCTTACCAGTGTATAAGGAGCAAAATGGAAAAGGCCAGTGCATAGCAGAATTCAATATGTGACTAAAGGAGTGGTGTAAAGGGGAAGGCTTTGGATATATTAGTCACGATGTCTGTAGCTGGTCCAATGAAAAGATGTACAAAAGAGATGGTTTGCATCCATCAAAGAAAGGGACTGAGTTACTTGGCTATAAATTCACAGATTTTCTGGAGGAAAATTTAAACTAAACAGCAGGAACAGTGAGTTAATTGATACAGAACAACCCTGTCCCCAGCAATCTAAAAATTATAGGGCTATCAGTGCATGTAACATAGATGTGTGGACAAGAATACCAACCTTGCTGTCAAGCAAAATCAAGCCTCTAATAGCGAGTGCCACACAAAGTGCACTAACCAAATAGGTGATAAGACAATAGGAGAACTCAGGCACCATACAGGTTATGTAAAAAGTAAACACAGGGCCAGTCATAAAGGACTTAAATGTCTATACACCAATGCACAGAGTATGAACAGCAAACTATATTATATTATATTATATTATTATATTATATTATATTATATTATATTATATATATTATAGCTTCTTAAATTTAGTCTGCTTCTTTCTTGTCCTCATCCATCTACAGACTCAATAACCTACATTTACAGTATTATTTCCTGATTCCAGTAGTCAGCTTCAATCCAGCCCCTTCAAATCTATGATCTCTGTAGTCTGTAGATCACATGACTTGTCATATGTTTCTGGAGTGAAATTTGAAACGTGCATCATAGTCAATTCAATATCATTAGTAGCATATATTCTTGAAAATAAGGATTTGTTAAAAATATCGGAATTGAAAAAGCAGTCTTTCTAATGCTGTAAAAAAGTAAATTCACACATATATATGTAGGCCTAAGTATACTTTTTTGCAATTTTTTGCTGCAATTTTGTTGTGGATGTCAAGAAAGTTTAATAGGTAGTGTGTCTTCCTTTCCAATTGTTTGTGTTCTCCTTTGCCTCTTCAGATATCTAGTAACACTAACAATTCCAATTGTAGTAATTTTCTCTTTATAACTTATTAAAATTTCAAGTTCTCAATTCCCTTTGGAGGGATATTGACTTACAGGTTTCATATTACTGTGCATGCATATCTGATAAACCTTGTCATTGCACAATTATGCAGACTGTGGGAGAGAAAGAACCATGTTTCACATATACATGCAAAATGAACATTCAGGTCAACGAGAGGCTCTGCCCCTTGCCCCCAAATCACTAAAATAGATTGGACAATGGGAATATGTTTAGTTATTTATGCATAGTAAAGAACAGGAAGAAGAAGATTGACTTCCTACTCTTTGTTCACAGCAGCTCTCCACTGTAAGGATGTGAACTTTGCTTATGATCGTTGTAGAGTGCATAAGCAAATAAACACACATTGTAAATTGACTCTGCAATTTGAGCTACACAGTATTTCTTATCAACGGACACTAGTAAAATCTGTGCACTGAAATAGATAATTTGTGGAGTTGGAAGTAAGAAAATTTCATGGAGGAGGAAACTCTTCTCCATTTTCGTCCTTATGGAGCAGAGAGTTCAAGTTTACAGATCCCCATTTCAGGCTTCTTAAAGTACCTGAACCCCATTCTGAAAAATAATATGGCACCCTCATCTTGTGCAAGCTGAAATTCTTTGCTGGACTGTAAATCAATGTGATATAAGCAGTCAAGGGATACCGAGAAGTTGAACATATTTACCCTTTTACATCTCTGTAAAATGCAGCTTAGCCATATTTCTGCTTGTCTCCGTAGTGCCAGATCACATAAATAAAGACAGAGTCTTTTCTTCTTTGCCATTAAATTTCTGGGAAAGTTTCTGAGGCTTGTCTGTTTACAGGGGGATTTTGTCATTTCTTCTTATTTTTTTTCCTGTTTTAAAATATAAATCTTTAAATAGCACACCCAGATTACTGCAAAACTGAAATAATTTAAAACCTAGAATTTACAGTGAGGGCTGAGAGCCCTTTTTTCTCTTTTGTGACCTAGCTCTTCTGGAATTGCACGTTCTTCATTCTTACTAAAGTGAAATTTTGGCTCCTTCCAATATCTCCATAAATAAAGATTAAAGATGCCTCGTCAGCGCAAACTGAAAGATTAATTTGCCAACCCATTTAAAAAACAAAAAGCCAACCAACCAGTCCTATTTTATTTTATCATTTTCTTTCATTTATTTTAATAGATGATAGATGACATATGAGATAGATAGACAGACAGACAGACATCCTTAGACAGAATCTCAAAAGCCATAGCATTAATACAATTCTTCCCTCTGGTGCTCTATAAGGGAAAAGCCAACTCAGCTTTTTTCAGGGTTAGAAAACATACTATATATTCACCTATACCTGTGATAGCTTATTGTTGTGAAGGTACTGAAGAATTTAATAAACAATATAATGAACCTGAGATAGAATTATAAGTTATCTGTATATGCCTGAGCATATTTAAGTCTGTTTGAACTGTTGCTACAACAATAAAATGAATACAACTTGACTACACATCAAATACACATCAAATGGATTGTCTAAAAAGTGTTGTTCCTTTATTTCTCAACTGGACATTGTTTTTCCACTATTCCCTTCAGTATTAAAAAATAATATATCTATTATTAAAAGACCAAACATTTGTTTCTGGAAGCAAATCAAGCCATTAATTCAATCCACCTGTCGCAAAATTATCTGGTTAACACCACGATGAACATACTTAAAGCATTTTAATTCTTTTCAGCATATCCAACCCCTTTTTTGTTCTTTCCTTTTTTAGTTGTTTAAAGCAGAATGAAAGTTTGTTAGTTAAGATTTCCCCTTCCTTGTACACTTTGCATTGCAGAGTGACACAATTTAAGTGACAGCAATGCAATCTTCCTGAACACCTGGATTAGCCAGGCCCTTTGTCTCCCATTTATAACCGATAAGAGGATTTGCATTTTTATAAACCAGATAGAGATCACAGGACAAAGAGAATTTCCATTGTATAAACAAATGAAACATATTCTGAGTTCTTACACTTCTTACATCAAACATAATCAATTTTGTGTAACAGCTTCAGCAAGGTCTTTCCAGAAGGTCTATAGGTAGAGGTGTTTTTCAGTCTGATAAAGTGTACCGGAGCCTTTAGAATGCTTGCTGCCAAACTAATGACTGATGTACAGCAGCATAACTTGTTACAAGACACCCATCACGGGACATTGATAATATGGTAGATTTCTGCATTGGGATTACCATTGAGTTGCACTGAAAATACAATGTTTCTAAGGAGCAATCATAATGTACAGGTAGTGTTCAATTTACAACCACAATTGAGCTCAACATTTCTGTTGCTAAACAAGGCTGTTGTTAAGTGAGTTGCACCCCATTTTATGACCTTTTTGGCCGTAAGGCAATCACTGCTGTTGTTAGGTCAATCACATGGTTGTTAAGTGAGTCTGACTTCCCTCATTGATTTTGTCTTTTCAGAAGCTGGCTAGGAAGCTTGAAAATGGTGACAATATGACCCAGGGACAATGCCACCATCATAATAAATACATGCCCGTTGCTAAGTGACCAAATTTTGATCACATGACCATGAGGATGCTGCAACAATTGTAAAAGTGAAAACTGGTCAAAAGTCACTTTTTCTCAGTGCTGCTGTAACTTCGAATAGTCACTAAACAAATGGTTTTAAGTTGAGGACCATCCGTAACAGAATAACAGAATGGGAAGCGACCTTGGAGGTCATCTAGTCCAACTCCCTGCTCAGGCAGGAAACCCTATACCATTTCAGACAAAAAGTACTGCACATAGAAATGGCGAAAATCTCCGCCTATTTGAAGGACCATTCACAAGAGAAATATATTTCGGTTTGGAGAAGATGGATTGATTATATTCAAAAGAAATATGAGACTGAAAAGTATTATCTTGCTTATGAGTAGATTTTAGATTATCATTAATAGTTTAATATGGTTGAATTTATATTATTTTTAGTGTTATGGTTTAATTATATTATTATTTTTGTTTTTAATTAGTTAATACTTGTTTTGAAAAGGAGTTAAAGTATGTTATAGATTGTTTGATAGTATAGTTGGGTAATGTTAGTTAGATTATGATTGTTTATTTGTTACCCTGTAATCAGCTCTGCGAAGTGGGGGAGGGGGAAGGGGTGGGAGGGGTTTGGCTTATATTGTATTAAATTTGTAAAACTTTTAATTAAAAAAAAGTACTGCACATAGGCTAGCAGTTCAATAGCACAAGATACCTGGTTGCTTGATCCATTCTTTTTTCCCGAATGATCTTACCTTCCTTTCCTTTATACAGGAATCCTCACGATTCAGACTGAGTATTGATTTATTCATCAATTTTGTATGCTGCTTGAATGAAGGAAACTCTAGTAGCCCTTGGTAGCCTTTGTGCCAGGCTAATACTCAGGAGAGCCTCTGCAGTTGTTGATTGCCTTTTCTATGGTGGATGATCCATTGCACAACCTACTTATTAACCTGTAGCAAATGATTTGCTATAGCTCATTACTCTATTAAAATTTATTCTAATGCACGGGACAGCATTTTAGCGGCTAAGAATATTTATGCTGCAAGATCCATTCCTCATGCTGATATTGGATCTCTTCTATTGACTCTTGTTAATGGAGAAGGTTCTGTTATTACAGCTTCTTATGAACCCCATTGATTAAGTCAGCAGCAGATTTGATTTATAATGGAGTCCTGACCGAGGGAGGAGAAGAAGGGGACACAGAAAAATGGGCAGTTCAATAATTTGGAATATTATCGATTGATGTATTTGCAGCATTTCAATATTGCTGGCTTCTTAGAGAAATCTGGCAGCTTGCAATTTTGCAAAATCCATACTATTGTGTAAGTGTCCCCCTCCTGCCAACCAAACACACTATAGTGCCAGAATGACATTTTCACTCTACAACATTCAAAAGCCTCCCCCCCCCCAAAAAAAATATATGTCTAGAAAAATGTAGAAAGGGGGCATCTGAGGAAAGATATTCAACAAAATAGGGAAAAGGCTTCAAAAGCAATGCATAGTATCCTGTACCCATATCCCTGATCTGTATGAGAGGATCACCAAGTTGATCCCTGGGATCAAATGAACCGGATAGATTCCATCTAAATAATCCTGCAGATATCTGGGCACCAAAGTATAAAAGGCTTTATGAATTAAAATCAGGCTGATGAACAGTACTCAGAAGCCAATTGGGAGCCAATGCAACACCCACAGAGCCTCTGTTATATGAAATTGGTGCCTCCCTCCCACTAGTAAACACATTTCTTTATTTTGCATCAGAGGCAGCCTCTCAGTCATCTTCAAAGGCAGTTCAACATAAAACACATTACAACAGTCAATCTGCTACGTAATCAGGTCGTGAGATACAGTTGCCAGGGTTTCAGCGTAATTGTAAGTTTATTACAGTTAGACAGAGCATAAATTACATAAAACAGAGCAAAATATAATTTCTGCAAAACTGACTACATTAGGTAATACAAAAAAAAATCTGAGGACTAACTAGCTGAAAATATTCAAAATAATTCAGCCATTCCTACACATTTCACTAGATGCACCCTTAGCTTGATAGCCACTGTCCACAATTTGCAGTTACAAGTATCACTTGGAATTTTAGAATACATTAGTCCTTGACTTATGAATTTCCATCATAGGTCATGACAGTTTAAGTCAAGGCACATGACAGGACCTGATTTTATAAGTTTGTTTGTTGCAGTCATTAAGTGAACGCTGCACTGAATCATGTATTCCTATGGAGATTTTTTTTTTTTTTTGCTGGAAACCAGCAAAAAAATTTCATAAATTGTGATCATGTGATTATGGATACTGCAACTGGCCATAAAGGTGAGCCATTTGCCAAGCACCTCAAATGTAGTCATGTGACTACTGGAGAGTAGTGATCTGTAGACACTGGAAGTCTGGAACCAGGTCATAAGTAATTTTTGAACAGTCTGTCATAACTTTGTTCACTAAACAAGATATGTTTAACTTTCCTCCCCCATATTTAGGGCAATTTTCTTTTTTAATAAGTGGAGAAAATTAAAGGGAATCTTGAAATGAGACACATCTAACAATGCATCTTATCTTTGATTGCATTTACTCTCAGGATTATAATTTTTAACATTTGGGATGTGCAAGATAATACAAATGTTCCAAATATGGCGTTCTAAGAGATAAATGCCTATTTTGTAGCCAGACATGTTTGGAATGCTACTAACCATTCTGGTTTAGAGATTACATTTGGAAAACCTCAAGAATAGCCAGTTTAATGTAGCCTGGATAAGAAACAAAGCTTCTTCCAGAGACTAATAAAATTAATGGATCCAAACTGCCAGAGAAAAGCATCTCTTAGATATTGGGACCAGCCCATTGCTCCCAGGGAACACTGGTGTTTTGTAGAAGGTAATTTAAGGAAAAAAAAAAAAAACTGGTGAGAGTCATTTTGAAACTATGGCAAAATGCATCCATTAAAAACAAAAATCTTGTAGTAGCAAGAATAGCTCCAAAATCACAAAAGAGCAGCTGTAATCTATTTTTTCATTCATTATTTAAATGTTTATAGGTGATTGAACATCGCTTTTCCTCGGATGGAGTTCCAGAGAGCCAGGCAATACATACACAAATATAGCCTTGAAAGACTTGTCTCTGCAACCTGGAGAACTTCTGCCTGTCAGAAGCACTAATTTACCAAGTCCTCGGGTTTGCTGCCCCATCTGACTGCAATTATTTTAATCAAGCAACCAAATAAGCAAATTACCTAAACAAATGAATGAATAAATAAGCAAAGCCCTGGTCTTTTTTCATTATTTTTACTGTATATTTTTAAAGTTCTGAACCACCTATTGCATTATTAGAAAATAAGAACTTGAGAGCCGTATGACCACACTCTCAGCATTCCCTCTGGGCAAATTTGGATAGACCACAGGTCGGCAACCTGCGGCTCCGGAGCCGCATGCGACTCTTTGAGCCTTCCCCAGTGGCTCCCAGCCTCCTCTGCCTTTGCAGAGAGAGTCAGAGACAGAGAGAGGCAATTGCGCTTCCCTGCTTCCTTCTCTCTCTCTCTCTCTCTCTCTCTCTCTCTCTCTCTCTCTCTGTGTGTGTGTGTAAAAGATTGCACTCACAGTGTTCTCCGAGGAGCTGAAAAGCTTTCTGGACGGAGCTCCTCCCTTTGCTGCGTCTCTGCAGGAAGCAAGAAGCAGGAAGGGCAGGAGAGAGCTAGCTAGCCCAGCTAGGCTGACTCAGGAATTCAGGGAGTTGAAGTCCATGAGTCATAAAAGAGACGAGGTTGCTTACCCTGAGCTTGTTGGACAACAGCTTGAAGCTTGCCAGGTGAGCAGCAGATAGGAGAGAGAGAGAGAGAAAGAGAGAGAGGGAGGGAGAGAGAGAGAGAGAGAGAGAGAGAGAGAGAGAGAGAGAGAGAGAGAGAGAGAGAGTGGGGGAAGAGGAGTGGCAGGCAGACCAAGGGCAGATAGAGAGGGAGGGAGAGAGAGAGACAGGCAGAGAGAGAGAGAGAGACCCTTTTGACATCTAAAATGAAGATAACACTGCATATATCCTTTTTTTACCTGTATGTGTATGTGTATGTATGTGTATATATATATGTGTGTGTGTGTATACATATACACACACACATATACACACACACAAACACACACACACACAAACACACACCTATAATACAGGTAAAAAAGGATATATGCAGTGTTATCTTCATTTTAGATATCAAAAGGATTTTGCGGCTCCCGGTGTTTTGTTTTTGGTGGGAAATGGGTCCAAGTGGCTCTGTGAGTGTTTTGGGTTGCCTACCCCTGGGATAGACAATGCTGAGCTGGAGGAATGACTGGGTACAATATCAGTTATATTTTTATGGGATGATGTAACTTTAAGCTATCCTCATTCTGGGCTGTAGGGCTAGCATGGTAGAAATTGAGGAACAGAACGTTTGAAATCTATCCAGCATATTAAAAAGCAGAGATATCACCCTTGCTGACAAAAATCTGTAAGTCATATCTATGGTTTTCCTAGTAGAAAACCTAGACTGTGAGAGTTGGACCATAAGGAAGGCTGAGCACCGAAGAACTCATACTTTTGAATTGTGGTGTTGGGGAAGACTCTTGAGAGTCCTTTGGACTACTATCAGTCAATCCTAAAGGAAATCCCACTCTGACTGTTCTTTGGAAGGACAGGTACTGAAGTTGAAACTCAAATACTTTGGCCATCAAATGAAAACTAATTGGAAAAGACCCTGATGTTGGGAAAGATTGAAGGCAAAAGGCAAGAGGATGGCAGAGAATGAGATGGTTAGATAGTGTCATTGACATAGTGAGCATGGGTTTAGAGACTCTGGCAGACATTGGAGAGCAGGGGCATGTTAAGGTTCATGGGGTTGCGAAGAGTCAGACACGATTTAGTGACTGAACAACAACAACAAAATTTGAAAATTAAGCTTCCTTTCTGCTTTCAAAGGATGAAAGTGTTAGAGTTCTTCTTGTTGCACCTTATAGAACATCATTATTTCCTTTTATATTGTCATGAATAAGGTGTAATCAGTTATCCCATTTTAAATGTGTGTAGTCTATTAATCATAGCTTTCAATAGATATGGAAAGAGTTGCCACGAACTGGTATTTACATGGAAATCCTGAACATATATTCCACTATAGAGGATATACCTAAACAACACATATTTATACCCAATTTGTCTTTTTCCTCAATGACAGATTATTTAGATGCTGTTGGTGTTGATTTCACTCCTGGATATGAACTGGAAGGAAAAACTATATCTGTCAAAAGCATCAATTTGTCCAGTAGACTCTGCATTTGTTGTAAGAAACTAGTCACCTATCCTTTGCAGGTGATGATTTATTGCACAGAGCAATATGTGACAAGGAGTAATTTTTCATGTCAAGTAGAGCCCTGGTGCCCAGCACTTAATTTCCTCTAAGTCCCTTCAAAACAACAACAATGGAAAGTGAAACAGGACTTCTTGCTGGTAATGGTCCTGAAGCTACGGGCATCCCATTGTGAGAAGCCATCGCTTTCCTACTGGGAGACTGGATGTCCCACTACAGAAACTATGATACTATGAGAATGAAACTAGAGAGATATCATGAAAACTAGTCTCAGGTGTTTGTCTAACAGTTGGATAGAGTCTTCTGTTGACAGCTCTGAACTGCCAGCAATAAAAGTTAGATCTAAGTTGTCGTTTTCAGATCCCTAAGGGCAACAAAAGAAGCTCTCAATTAGTTTTCACTTCACTGCGGCTTCAGAAGTAAAAATAATGGGGAAGTTAGATTTTTGCCTCTAATCTACACCTGTGGCCTGCCATTCTCTATTTCAGACATCTTGAACCTGCATTGTAAACAGCTTCATCAGTTAGCTAATCCACTAAACCTCACAGGAGTTTGCTGTGAAACTCTTATGAATGTTAATGGACCAATGGCAAGGCATTCATATCTATGTACAACTGATTATTTATCATTAGTTTTGCAAAATGTTGTTCCATATCACATATGCTTCAAATGCAGATCTCCCACATGGAAGTAAGAAATCATGTTGCCTACAGTAGGTACTTGTAAATAATGTATATAATTGAAAATGCCATCTTAAAATATTGTGGGCTATACTCTACTAACTGATGTATAAAGAAATCCAAAAGACTGTAGCATAGCTATTGTGGTATACCTGGAGATTGGAAAGATACTGTACACCACAGATCTCTTCCATGATTTTGTTGTTGTTAGTTGCAAAGTCGTGTCCAACCCATCGTGACCCCATGCAGCCAAGAAATTAAAAGACGCTTGCTCCTGGGGAGGAAAGCTATGGCAAATCTAGACAGCATACTAAAAAACAGAGACCTCACCCTGCTAACAAAAGTATTTATAGTCAAGACCATGGCTTTCTCAGTGCAATGTATGGCTGTGAAAGATGGACCATAGGAAAGGTTGAGCGCAAAAGAATTGAGGCCTTTGAACTATGGTGCTGGAGAAGATTCCTGCGAGTCCCCTGGACTGAAAGGCAATCAAACTGGTCAGTCCTAGAGGAGATCAACCCTGACTGCTCTTTAGAAGGCCAGATCCTGAAGTTGAAACTCCAGTACTTTGGCCACCTAATGAGAAGGAACGACTCTTCCATGATAGGAAGTGGTTTATGCTTATTGTCTTTTGCAGAAATTACTCCTGCTTATGGCATGACTTACATGGTGAATATTATTTTGAAATAACAAGGGAATACTTTTTGCACAATAATACTGTAAGAATGGAGTGGATTTTTATGGTTGGTCCTTTTTTTAAGTGGTATTAATATCATGTAGGCACTTTGGTTTTTGAAGAAGTCCAAATAAATGATGCTAGTGGTTATTCATGTATTATTATTTTTCAGAATGCCTGTAGAACAATGGTAAGATACTTTATTGCTATATAGTGATCTAAAATTCTTAATTGGAGAAGCAGGATAATTGGGCCATCTGTCCATTCCATTCTGAAATATTTATAGCCATCACACAGATCATATATTGCAATGTTAGCAATCTGTAGAACTTAACACTATTTTGCAATACCTAGGAGGCCCTGTCGACAAAAATGTAGGCCAATGACCAACAGTTTGCACCCATAGATCTGAACATGTCATCTGTTGCAGAAGACATAACAGGACTCAGTAATTATATCAGGAAAGAAGGCATATTGTTACAGTAGTAGCAGATAATTGAGCAAAAATATGACCGTGGTCCACTTATTTTCTATAGGAAACACATTCACATAGACCTTCTCATTTCTACGTGTCTGAAAAACAAGCAGCCAGGATGAAATCATGTTTTGAGGAGGTTTTGCTTCTTGGAGAACAGTTAGCTTTGTATTATTACACCTAAACCCATGCATCCTATTGAATATATTCACCTTTATATTCGGGTGGGTTATAATATGGCCAGTATCTTTTTGTATGGAGCCAATAGTAATGCCTTGAATGAACTGTGCTTCTGATTTTTCTGTAAGTATAAAGAGCCACCCAAAAAAAAAAAAAAAAGATTTAGTGGAACATGGAAAAACTCCTTGCATGATGAAGTGTTAACACAAAGACACTTTAACCATAGGCAAATTTAAATTTAAAAGACTTAAGTTCTCCCAAATCTGCTCTTGATAGTTCTATGGTCATGTCCATGTAGGTTTCTTGACAACAATAGAAAAGTGGTTTACTATTGCATTCTTCTGCAAGGATTTTTTTTTTTTTTTTTTGGCTTCCCAATCTTACTTATAACATGGATATTCCCTGAAGTCCTCCTATCCAACTACTGACCTGGTTTGATCCTGTTTAGCCTTTTTGAGATCTCCCAAAGTTGGTTTAGTGCTCTTGCCTGCTTATTCTCATAGGGTCCAATATTAAGTAGATTGTGGAAATGTGATTGAGAAGCAGAAGTTGCCTTCTCAACCACTTGTGTTATTGTGGCATTAGAGTAACTCTGTAGTAATCAGTGCTCAGTCATTGCAGGGTGCAAATATGGCTGAGCGCCTTCGCAGCATTTATTCTTTTATACAGTTTTCCAAGCAGCAAAAGTTTAACATGGCAATAGCATAGCAATAGCATTTCATTGGTTAAACTCCTTACCAATCCTTAAGAAGATATCAGCCAGGAGGCCCAGCCAGGGAGCAGTTTCTACCACATCCTGTTGATGTAACCTGGCTGATATCATGTGCCAGCTGGGGGTAGTTTCCCACATTGCCATGGTGATGTGAATGGATGAGATCATGTAGAGAGAAGAGGCACGCAGGCTTTGGAGGGGCAGTTTGCTGTTCACGACCTCTACCTGGCCCCCATCTACACAACTCCAGGCTTGTATCAATGCCATTATAATAGATGACAGTCATTTAGAAATAGCATTTGTCAATCATTTGACTCCCAGTTTGACATCTTGTGTTATGTGCACTTGAGGTACATAATATAGTCTCTATACTGCAGTACAGTACTTCCTATGTTTGATCTGCATTTTGTCATTTGATCTGCATTTTGTCATTTGATCTGCATTTTGTACATTTCACATGACTTCCCTTCATGCACAGGGTTTAAAACGTGGCAGATGAAAAGGGGGGACAAAATAGACCCCCCCCAATTCTAAGCAGAGCTTTAAAACTATTTGTAAATTTGAAAAATGTTTACTTTTTAACCAAAGATTAATGGTAAATCATATTGGCTACATGAACTACTTAAATGCAAATATGCAGATTATTTTTCAGATAATTTTTAGTTGAACAGAACTAAACTTATTTGAAGGTCCAGTGAGCTGATTATACAAGACTGACATGCACAGTTTGTTGTCATTTCCTTCATCTATCTGTGGTATTTAACATAAATTAAAGAATAAAGCTGTGTTGCCTGTAAGGCGCTTCTAACAAAGAAAGAAAGTGAACATGAAAGTATCACAGCCATGAAAAGATCTCTTTATGGCTAGATCACTATTGATTTTCTGGAATGCCTGACTGAAAAACACCATGAAATCATTGCTTTGTGGGGCATTCTTGATAATATTCCGACAACACGATGTTTGTAGTTATTAAATTTCCAAAGCTAATATGGTTCCAGTGATAATAGAAGAAATGGTCTGATAAGCCCAAAAGATAGCTAGCATTGTCTTGGTTTTTTTCTTCTTCTTACAGACTGTACAGATAGTATATAGCAAGAGGTGTGCACTGTTGATAAAATGTGCACACATACATACTGAGTAATGTGCTTCCATAACATACATTATTGAAATGAATGTTATTTCTGTTCATTACCTCTGTTTGATCATGCTGCAATTAAGTGGGTGGCAAGGTGCAATTATTCATTTCTGCCTTTAAGTGCTAGCACACATGTGAAACTGATACATAGATTTATACACCTCAGAATAAATTGAATATATGTTTGCTATTCTAAATTCTGCTTGCACTAGCTCATAGTGTTTGCATTAACACACTGGAAACTGTATACAGAGGAAAGAAGAGAACCCTTCTTGGCTGCAGTTATATAGGTGAAATTGCCCGTCGTATGTTGCATGTTGTCTATATCATAGTACCTAAAATAGGATTTTAAAATTATTTTTCCCCCTTCAGTGTAATGAACATTGCAATTTCTAGATGCAATCTAAATGCAATTAAAGCTGGCAAAATAATTCCAACTAATCTCATTTGAATCAAGATTGCCAGTTAAGTATATCTGAAATCTAAATTCAGAGATTGCAATCCTAATCACATTTATTCAAGAACAAAACTCATTGAATATGCTATGATTGATTTCTGAATAAACATGAACAGGGTTGCCAAAACATCTTTTTAAGAATGGTCCTCAGTTTCTTAATATAGTATTTTGGATGCATCCCATTCAGAGAAAGAGATACTCAATCATTTTAAATTTGCTGCTTTTATGCAATTATGAACTCATTATAGGTTTACATAACAATTATCATATGATTATTGTTGGCTGGAATGCAAGATCCAGTAGCTCTCGCCTTCAAAAAATCCTGCGAGCAACTAGAGTTTCCTTTAGTGACAACCAAAGAGACTAGAATTTTCCCCTGTGTTTATGAATCATTATATGAATATAATCAGTAGGAGTCAATGCAAGATTTAGGATCTAGGTTATTCATTGAATCTTCAAACAGGCTGTTGAGATTCATAAATAACAACTTCTTAATGCAATTTTCAAGCTGATGACCCACTTCTGCCTCTGCATTTTTTATTACTAGAACAGATTGGAAAAGGTTATAGCAACAATCAGATCATGTTCACAACTTTATTTATCGAAACTTTACTTGGTCTTATTAAAAGCAATTGCCCTTCTGTGATTTGTTTGAAAACCAGGAGAAGACAATAAAGTAACCCAGTGTATAACCAAACACCCTGTATATGTGTGTGTGTGTGTGTGTGTGTGTGTGTGTGTGTGTGTGTGTGTGAGAGAGAGAGAGAGAGAGAGAGAGAGAGAGAGAGAAAGAGAAAGAGAGAGAGAGCGCTATTGTTTTTATCGATGCTCCTTAGTCAGAAAATAGAGAACTGTGTCTGTAGCTTTAGTTTTCTTGAATTCTTGAACACCAAAGACTGCGGCCCAGCAACAATAACCATCCAATCGAACAGTCCAAAATCAGACCATGACTCAGCAATATCTGAACAAATAACAGTCATACCAATTTGCATCATATAAAAAGATATTTAAAAGCCAGACGAGCACAATTCAAAGTGCACCGATGATGTCTCCTTGAATGGTGATGAAACATTTGCAACCAAATCACCAAGCTCAGAGCTCAAACCAACACTCCATACATTCTGTTGCTGTAATTTGTGTGGAATGTGTGTCTGGGATATAAAAAGAAGCTACATTTCTTAATGGAGTAGCCTGTGGGGGTTTTGCAGAATTATTTTCACAGATCTTTGGAAACTAATAGAATATACTGTAGAATATACCTGCTGTTATTGTCCAGTAGTGCATTACTTCCACATATGCCACCAATGAAGGAATTTCATCAAATCTTCATATAAGGAATTATTTGTTAAAAGCATAATTGATAGTAATACCATATGGCAAAGGTGTTTTACCTGGATGATCATACAAATAAGTGAAAAATCACACCACATAAAGTTTTCTTTTTTTAAAAAAATCCCAAGACTGCAGCTTTTTAAGGACTCTGTTTCTTTTTTTCATATCTTGGAATTTGTCCTCAAGGAGGTCTACTTTCTCTGCAACTTCTTCCAGTCTGGAATCCAACTTCACAACCACAGAAGCCAATCCTGATAAAGCTGTAACTATATCTTGCCTCAAAATAATATTATTCTCCACTAAAAGCTCCTTCATTTCCTCTTTAGTTTCAGATTTGTTCTGTTCAAGAAGATCTTTATTCTGTTTAAAAAGGTCCTTCATTTCCTCTTTACTTTCAGACTTGCTCTGTTCAAGAAGTTGCTTCATTTCCTCCCTGATTTGAGATACAGCATTTCCCATTATATCTTTAATGTCTTGTGCAGACAAGCCTGGCAAGGGAGGAGAAGATGGAGGTGCAGAGATGGTAGCGGCGTTCCACTTTGTTTCCAAAGAAACAAAGACAGCTGGAAGGCGGAGAAAGCACAAACTCCGAGGGAACACTCTTTCTACCCCCCCAAAAAAAGAGATCCAAGGGGGGTTAAGAGGTTCTACCTCTATTCGTGTGGTCTCTACCCCTTCCCTTCACCCGGGAAGGGGATTTCGAGCCGCGGGCCAGCTGATGCATGCTGTGCTCCGCAGATCTAACGCCGTCCCAGGAGGATGGCTACAAAGTAGCCGCCATCATCATCGCTAACCACCGGAAGCTCAATGAAGGAATTCCAATGAAGGAATTTCATCAAATCTTCTTATAAGTAATTATTTGTTAAAAGCATAATTGATAGTAATACCATATGGCGAAGGTGTTTTACCTGGATGATCATACAAATAAGTGAAAAATCACACCACATAAAGTTTTCTTTTTTAAAAAAAATCCCAAGACTGCAGCTTTTTAAGGACTCTGTTTCTATGATATAGAAATACATGCTTAATTTTAATCATTGTTTTCTGAGTTTTAGCTGATTTGTTTTACATTGGTTGCCTAGACTACTTAATATCTCTTCTTGCTTCATTTTCTTGTGGTTCCAAGGTTAGATTTACAGGCCGCCTTTAAGCCCTGAGAACTGTCTATAATTTTGGAAATAAAGTACTAATAAACACTTCAAAATAGTCATCTTTCCATATTCAGCTGATTGCACGAGACTTCACTGGGAGAAAATAGGGTTAGGACATGTTAGCTAACATATTCAGTTGGTGATCGGCAGAAGAGCTCTAAATACACAAAAATACACATTTTCACATAGTCCAAAATTCTGATTTATTAGGATTCTGAATTGCACAGGATTGCACAGAAAAGCATGCATATCCCTTTCCTTACTAGGTTTGAAGTTCTTCAAATTTGTGTGGTTATTTATTTATTTATTTATTTATTTATTTATATAGCTGCCCATCTTAAATATATTATACATATTATATGTATATTATATATATTGTATAATATATATTGTATATGTAATGTAATATACATATACATACACAACACATAGCTCTGGACTGCAGATAAACCCCTATAAATGACTAAAAACAACTACATAGCAATTCCAGAAAAACAAACACTCAGATGTTAAGCTTCCCAAGGCCTGGGGAGAAAAGTCAGGTTTGACAGCCTTCCTGAAAGCTGGCTGTTAGGGCTATTTGAAGGCTAATTCACAGGGTAGCCACTGCAACCAAGCGGTTGTGCCCGAAGAAAGCTCTCAGCTTCAGAGGGACAGAAAAGGGAAGTGCAAAGGTAATTGTGATTTCCTGCAAATTTTTAAATGCCTGTGGTCAGATTGGTTTTGGCATCCTCCTTTCCCTGAATTTGACCACATGATTTACACACCCAAAACATCTAGAAGCTAGAAGCCGGGGGGGGGGGACTGTGAGTTTTAGTCCCGCCTTAAGCATGAAAGCTGACTGACTGACTTTGGACCTGCTCCACTTCTCCTCTCTCTCTCAGCCCAGGGTTGTCATTGTTGTGGAGAAAACAGAAGGAAGAAGGAGTGTTTTGTGTATTCGCCACCTTGAGTAATTTATAAAAATAATAGAGGTGGGGAATAAATAAATAAATAAATATTTATTTATTAAAATATTTAAAAAATATTAAATAAGGCTGTCAACTTTAGAATGAGCATGGTTGCAGCCACCTTTTCCTTCTCATTCCTAGTTGCCACATAGCATGGAGGGAGGGGGGTTTGCCAGGCTAGACAAAACAAACTTTCTCTCTTGGACTTTCTCTCATGGGAACCAAGGTCATGGGCTGCTCCTGAGACTTCAGGCTGGGCATTTCATGAAAACCCCGCCAACAAGTGGAACATAGTTGCTTGCATAGCTTTGGGGGTGGGATTTCT